GCAGAGGTGATGTTGGTGGTGAAGCATCCATCTTCAAGTCATAAAGAAACAATGAGGACCAAAGCCATACATTAAGGACAACAGAGCAGAAAGGAAGAAGGTACTTATGACCCTGATGACAGTAGCACCATACCAGCTTAAAACCACCTTCTTCAAGACTTTTTACATGAAAAAAAAATTTAAGCTGTTTGGTTAATTTTGGTAATTAAGCAAGCTGTTTAGTAATTTTCAATGTCACACAAAACTCAGATTTTGGTTAGGCCACGCTAAGTGGGTTTTATGTTCATGAGCAGCTGGATGCAATCCTTCAATGAAACACCCATGATTCCACAACTTAACTGTCATCACTTTACCCTATCGCATTATTATTCTTTGCACATGTGTGCATATTTGGGCATTGGATAGTTGTGGTCATAGCACAAACTTTCATATTTTGGTGAATAAGGATTAAATAAGATATGACTGGCACCTAACTGAACCTCATCCAACGTTCATTTCCTTTATAATTTTTTAACTTGAATTTATATCAAAATTTCTCTAAATATTATCATAATCTTTTTCATTTTTTTAATTTAGTAGTCCCCTAATAGTTCATGGTATTGATGTAATTTATCTGCTATCCCAGTATACAATGAGCTTAGATTATATCCTGTTGTTTGAAATATGGATATTACTGCAAGGAATACCTTCATGCTCTGCTGTATTTTAGAATTTTCCTTTAAATAATTATTAATTAATTGACGTAAAATTGAAAACTAAAACCAAAAAAACACTGAAATCTTCTTCCTCTTCATTTTCCACTTTCCTGTACCCCAAATCATAATAGGCAGTACTGGGGGAAAAAGGGCAAGTATTTTTACTATGGCACATTTATACTATCATTAAAGGATTTAAATGCTTTAGTTTTTTTTTTTTTAAACAACCTAAAAGAGAAGAGAAACCAAGCCTTAACAAATAGTAGGAGCTATTTGTTTTTCTATTTTAAAAAGTAAATACCACAAATTTCCTGAACTATTGACTCTTCACATACAACTCAGAAGAGAGAGAGTCTGTCTAGAATAAGAAAAAGTTTAGCTTTCTTTGGTAAAGTACGTAACAAAAGGATCATTCTGTTGGAAGAGACTCACTGACTTTTTCATGGCCTGTTACCTTTCTTCTGGGATCTGGGATACACATATTTTATTCAGAATATTGAATATCTAATGAGAAATAAAACTTGTGAAATCTTATCCACACAGTATGATTAGTTTTAGAAATACTGCCACAAAAGATGAGCAACTATACAAATTAATGTAGTCCCTTTACACTGAGGAGTGCACATAATTTTAACCCAAATTAAAGTTTAGCTGAGAGAATAAAATACTTATGTACATATTAAGATACAAATTTAGACAAACATATGAAACTTTAACAAGGTATTTCTAACAGGCAAATTTTATAATTTGCACTGTGATTAAATATGACCAATAGCTTAATCAGTTAGAATCTCAAATCTTACAATAACTGAACTTTCCAAATCCACAGAAAATACAACACCAAGAGTGACCCTAATGTAAAGTATGGACTCAAGAGTGATGACGTGTCAGTCTAAATTCATCACTGTGACAAATGTATCACTCTGGTAGGGGGATATGAATGGGGTGGTATATAGGAAATCTATAGGGGGTATATAGGAAATCTATATAGGGGGTATATAGGAAATCTCTACACCTTCTTCTCAATTTTGCTGTGAACCTA